CGGGGGCAGACCACCCACATCCATCAGCACAATGGGTGCACACACACAGTGGCCATTCTGCTGCCCTAAAGAGGAATGCAGCCCCGGGTCCTGCCGAGGCAGGGCTGGGCCTCAAGAACAGGCTCCCAGTGAGTAGTCAGCTTTGCAGGGACAACTCTTGTACGACTCCATTGACGTGAAATGACGCGGGTGGGCAAGTGTAGGCACAGCGGAGTTTATGCGTGGTTTCTGGGGGCACGTGGGTGGGGCAGAGCGGAAGGGGGAGAGGTGAAAATGTTGGGCACTTAGATCTAGTGGTGAATATCCTAAAAAGCGTGGACTGGGACATCTTAGAACGGGTCAAATGTGAAATGGGAGCAGGCCAGTCAACCAGCTTTGTCTCCCCCCGCAGATGCCAATTCACCAGAACCTCAAGGAACTGCTGGCCATCCGGACGGAGCTGCAGAAGAGGGTGGAGGACCTGCAGCGGGAGGTGGCCGCGCGCTCCATCTCGTCCTCGTCCGAGCGCGGCTCCTCACCTCCCCACTCGGCCACGCCGGTGCACACTTCCGTCTGATGGGTGGCCGGCAGGCCTCAGGGCCTCCTGGGGGTAAGGAAGGGCCTGGTGGTCTCTTGGTGATCACTGTGCCCACTGCAGCCTCTGATCTGCTCTTGTAGGATTAGGCCCAGTGGCCTCCATGTGTGGGCCGCCCTGCAGCAGCTGGAGTGCATTAGTGCCCATGCGTAGGTTGCAGAGGGTTTTCCAGGAACTAATTCTCCATGAAATCCTTCATTCGAACAAACTGACCGCTTTCCACGTCGGCCAGTCGCGTGGCTGCTTTCAGTTATTTGCTGCAACGTAGAAACCGTTTGGAAATGTAGCGTTTGGTGGCAAAGACAGACGTTGCCATGTCTTCCACAGTCGCCTGCACACAAGGGTCCTGGACCAATCACTGCTGTGTACACAGAAGGTATTTTTTAAAAAGAGAAACATGCCTTTATTTTCCTATGTCCTTTTTTATGTTGAGAATAGTCACCCGAGGACGTAGCTGCCTGGCTGGACCGTGTAAGCAGTTCCGTGAGAGAAAGCTCACGCTAACTTTTGTGGGGTGCATTTGAAACGCTACTGGCATCCGTCCTCACCTCACTCTGGGACTTGGCCCACCCCTGCACAGGGGAAACTGGGGACTCGGGACGCCTCCCAGCTCCTTCAGCTGTCTGGAGCAAAGCAGCCGCCCGCTCCTGTCCCCGAGCGCCCTTCCCTCCGTGGGTCTGTGCCACTGCATGCCACTAGGGCACAGCGACCACTGTGCGGTGGCTTCCATTGCCAAAAGCTCCCCCGGAGTTCCAGGGGCAGCGCCGGCCTCAGCAGGGGCCCTGCTGCCAGCGGCCACCCCTCCCCCGGCGCTGGGTCTCACCAGCGAGGAATTGGGCCCGTTGAGTCAGGGGGCCTCGGAAGTCCTTGAGTCCCACCCCAGTCCGGCTGCGCGGCAACATGCCCTGGTTGTGGCGGTGGCCTGGCCGCCCCACAGAGCCTGTCCACTGGACCTTGCCCTCCAGGACGCCCTCTCGGAGAGCTGCGTGTACAGTTAAAAAGTGGGACCTTCCAGCTCTTAGAGGGAATGGCCCTTTACTAAGAGATCAGAAAAACTTCTCCGTGGTCGCCGGACCATCACAACAGCCTAAAGCAATGCGCACAGTCCATCAGCGATCTGTTTCTAAATCATAGTTGAACTGAAAGGAGCTTTCGATTTCCTTGAACGACCGCAGTTGCGGGGCCACTGATGGTGTAAACATAGGACGCCTCCCCAGGAATAACCTTGAATTCCCAGCCGCCCCAGGGCTGCTCATGCTTTGGACCGAACCAGAGAACGTACAGTGGGCTTCTTTGGGGAGTGTGGCTGGCCTGGGGCTGGGCCCCAGCCCTCTCCCCGCGTGGGGGCCCTAGAAACTCCCCTTAGAATTTAAAGAAACGCAACAGAACTTCGTATGTTCCCAGAACAGAACTGAGTTTCTAAAACAACTTGAGTAGAGTTTTGTTCCCTAAGCCATTCTTTTCTCCGTTGTATTTAAGCGTACTAGAATGTAAAACCTCAGCAGTTCGGGTTTTTAAAAACTGGTACAGAATTTTATCTGCCTCATCTGATGCACTGTTTCAATCTCTTGATTAAAATGATGACATGTTTGCTCCATGGTCTTTTCTGTTACCTCCTTTTGAGGAATTTCGGGGGGGGGGGAGGAGGAATTAGTGCCAACGGCTGGCAGGGATTGATGAGGCCCCAGGGGCCAAGCACAGCCGTGTCAAGGGAAGCGCCTTGGTGTGGTTTCTTACTCTGTCTTACGTCACTGATCTAGCGTGTTTGGGCCAAGGGGGACCCGAAATGCCCCTAGACTGTAACCTCAAGAAAACACTGGGGGCGCGGGGTGGTGGAGAGGCCCGAGCATCAGTGCCCGTGTGGGTGCTGCGTTCTCCACGGCAGGAACCAGGGAGGCCGCCCCAGAAGCCCCTGCGCCTCCCACGCCTGGGTGACCTAAGGGCTGCTGGGAAGGCACTGTGGAAACCACCCCGCTTCCTGCAGGTCACCCTTTTGGAAAGGCCCCGTGTCTGTCTCCCTCCACACGGCAGTCACAGCCCAGCCTTAGGTGGAGGAAGCCGGGCGGGCCCAGTGCCAGGCAGCTGTGGTCCCCAGCAACACCAGGCCTGCAGGGCCGCCGTGCCAGCCCGACTGGCTACACGGACCTTCCGCACCAAGAAGCGGGTGGTGGTTCAGGGTTTGCAGACGTGGTGCTATGTGCCCTCAACAGGACGCCTCCCGCCACTGCACAGGGCCTGCTCAAATGCCCAGCCGTAGCCTCTTGTTCGCCAGCCAGGCTGCCTCTGGCTGAGACCACCGCATGGCCCAGAATGTACGCTGGTGGCTGGCTGGCTTTTCAGAAGGCCAAGCCACAGGCTTGGGAGTCGAGCTTGGGATTCCAGTCGCAGCCCTGCCATTTCCTGGCCCCACCTGGGTGGCAGTGGCTCAACAGCCTGCCTCCTGAAGGTGACATCGGTCATGCCCCCCACCACCACCCCGCCAGACCTTAGCTTCTTTGTACAATGATGATGAATGGTGGGCCTGGCTGAGCGTCACCGAGGACGAGGCCAAGTGCACAACCTTCTAGAGCAATCCCTCTGGCTGAGGAGGAAGGGAATCAGGTGGGCTTCATACCAAAGGTTATGTTGGGAGCAATGGCATCATTTGACAAAGGAAGTGCCTCCACACCGTCGCAATGGCCCGTTAGGTGCGAGTTTGTTTAATGCAAACAACACTGGATGTTCACAATTCACACTTAAACACGACACAAGGGCTGTGCAGGGCATCCATCAGTCTCCCTTATCTCTTAGACACTCGTACGAACCCCCAACCTGAGGGGCCAAGAGGTCCTCCTCTACGGGTCCCCCACCAGGAGGGCGCCCCACCCTGCTGAGCACAGGCTCAGACTTGTTACCATAGATACTGGGCTTTTTTTTTTTTTTTGGCTGATGGACATTTTCAATTCAACCTTCTACGTTCACTTCTTTTCTCTCCCCGTCCCCCTTAGGGCAGGCCCACCCCAGCCAGTGCAACTTTCCGCCGAACACAGTTACAAGAGCCCCTCCACTGGGGTTCCCCTAGGCTGCAGAGCGCACAGGGAACAGGAGGCTGGGGGATCTGCGGGTGCATCCAGTTACTAGGGGCTCCCGTCTGCGTGTCTAGGCCTGAGAGAGCTAAGAAGGGCCAACAGGGCTCCTCCAACCAAGGTCAGTGCTGCTGAGAAAGGGCCTCACACCCAGCAGAGGCGGAGCGCTGATTTTATGCTGTAGGCGCTCCAGGGCTTCCACATCAGACAAACCTCACTGGAAAGCCAAGGTGGGCGAGCTCAGACAGCCTGGCCTCTGGGAACCAGTGCAGCTGGCAACCAGTGCCCCCTCCTTCCAAATTAGCCCGGAGCCTGCGGCGCACTGAGAGGCCACATTTTCCAGGTGTTTGCTCAGTGCTGGAGCTCCACTCTCAGACTCACAATCGCGGCCCGTCCGGGATTAACGGAGTTAATTAACAGAGTTCCTGCACGGCCCCAGGGAGATGATCCTAACGGCAGCCTGGAGACAAGTCCTGATCCACAGAGACCATGTTCTCCAAATAACCGCGAACACAAACACAAGAGGCATACATCACAGAGACGGAGGGGTCTGTTCGGAGCTCAGGGGTTTCCTCCAGAAGTCAGGACCTCATCCCGTTGCAGGGCAAGGAGCTCCAGCGACTGTGTCCAGTCCAAAGAGGCAAGCGATCTGCGTCCACAGGAGCCGGACGTCCCACTGACTGACCGCCAGTGGTTGGGTGCTCAAGACTCTAGCTCAGGACGTTCCAAACCAGACTGCTCCGGTGTGGGTGAAGGGCCATCCCATTATTTAGCACAGTGAGAACAGGCCCCCCAGTGCCTGCATCAGATCGGGAGATCAGGACAGGCAGGGTGAGTACAGAGCTCCCACGTCGTAAGTGTCGCAAAACCAAGCAAACATCTCTTTTCCAACATCTCTTTTCCCTTTCCTCCCCCGCAAAAAAAAAAAAATTAAAGCAAATCACAAGCGTGTTGCTGGTTTCAGTGCTTACTGTTGATGTCTGTAACTTTGGGTATCAAAACAAGAACATCTCTGTACGTGGACGGTCAGCACCTGCCGCCTGTCCTGCTCACTCAGTATACCCGTTCCTCACTTAAAAACATGGTTCAAAGTTCCAAAGACCAGGTTGTTATGCAAAACTTGATGCTGTGCAGAAATGGACGATGACTACATCATTGTGGAACTGCCAAATTACCTCAGTACATAACTGCCAAGACACGGAGGCACGGCCCAGCCAAGCTGACGTATAACCTTAGCCATCACAGCTGGCGTTACTCTCGCCTCGCACCTCGGCATTGCTTACTGCCAGATGTATGTCATTAATGGGAAAAAGAGTTGGCTGGTAGATTTTTTACTACTATCGTAATGCAAACTGTCAGATAACCAGGTAGTAAGTGAGGAGCAGGTGCGGAGAACTCATCTGCATAAATGAGTCCTAGAAACTTCATCATGCCGGCGCCGGACCACACGCAGTCCCTGTGGAACCCGGAGGGAAGGATGCCTGAAAGTCGCAGCTTGCGACTTACCTGGAAGAGTCCTAACCTCTGAGGGTAGCCTATCACGAGATGCACGTTTGCACCTAAAGAACCCAAATTCTCCACCTGGCCCAGCGTTCGGGAAGCCCAGCACTCCACACCTGTCATCCAAGGGATGAGGGGGTGCATGAGGGTGTGCAGGTGTGGGAGTGGGGGCGTGCTGCTTGGGGCTCCAAGGATACCCTAGACACCCTGCATGCTGCGTGTTAGCTGGGGACTCACCCCATTTATAGCTTTTGAGGTTGCAGCCCTAGGCGGGCCTACGACGAAGACCCAAGCCAGCACAACTGCAGATCACACTAGTCTCGATCCAAAGGCTTGTCCCCTAGGCACAACTGTCCTACATTCCCATCCCCTGCGGGCAACCTGGTGCTGGCTTCACCCTAAGCGGGGCTTGGTTTATAGCACCACATCTCCACAGAATGCCTGGCGGGCGTGTGGCCCACCCCGGGCACGGGGTCCAAAACCAACGTTGCAAACACTGGAGAACTGAGAGCAATGAGAAGCCAATGACGTTGACAGAGCAGCAGGTCCAAGTGAAACGGGCCGGGGTACAAGCGGGGCCTCAGATCCGGGGCTGCTCAGGCGGCGGCGGCTCTGCTGACTGGGTCTGCAGCGATGAGTATTTCACTAGGAAAAACCAGACGATGCCCCGTCAGGAGGAATCCGGTTCTGTCCCGCTGAACACCAGCTGACCGCGGACACCTGTCTGCGCTGCCGACCCCAGCCCCAGGCAGGGCGAGGCCAGCCCTGGGAGCAGAGCTCTGGGTGGGCTCTTCTTGAGAAGAGCCTCCTTGGGCCAGAAGGAGGGGAGCTGGTTCTGTAAACGGCTCAGGCCACTGGCTCCCTGGTACAATAGCACCACATCTGTGCGGAGCGCCAGGCGGGCCACGCAGGCTGCTGACCGGGATTCGATGCGAATGACCTGCACTCACACAACCCACAGACGGGGCTCATGCCAGGAGCCAGGATGCCTAGCAGGTTTTAAAATGTTACTATTATCACAAAGCCTAACGGAGAGGAAATTTTCCCACGTTCAATCTATTCTGTGCCCACGGCCAGATCACTGTCCCAAAGCACGGCGGTGGGCAGCCCAAGCCCGCAACACAGTACACAGAGACCAGGGCCTCCTGGCCTCTCGGGCCCTGGCTACCCGTCCCACACCTTCAGAGCCCGCTGGGCTCTCCCCCGTCCTGTCTGGGTCTGCCTCCGGGCTGCACGCCCCTCCCTAGCCTCAGCTGATGGACACTGGCCCAAGGCCCCTCTTCTCTGAGCACCACGGGCCCCGTCAGCAAAGCTGCTACCTCGGAACTGCAAGGCACCTTGGATGGCTTCAATGCTGATGGCTCATGGGCCCAGGAAGTGCTGATGACGACAGAAGTGAGATTTACCCGGAGGTGTCTGTTGGGGGGGCAGGGTGCCGAGGAGCTCAGACCAGTGCACAGAAGCCACTGCCTGGCCCCAGACGCCGTGAAGCCGGCCGCGTGGCTGCTCTGACTGAGGGCTCCAGGTAGTTGGGGGCCTGTGCCCTGGGGGGGGGGCCTCAGGTTCTGCCACACCCAGTCCCACCGGGCATCCTGGAGGCGGGCACCTCTGCACTCCCCGGCCTGGTCCTCACCTTGGGGCTCCTCGCACACCACGGCTTCCAGGTTCTCCCCCTTCACGTAGTCCGCGTTGAGGCCCTCTGCAAAGCAAGGGCAAGGGCAGCATGAGGGACAGACACGGGACAAACATGGGTCCCCAGTCCTGACCCAGAAACCGTGCTGTCCGGGAGGTCGTCCATCATTCTCAGAAGCAATGACAGTGTGTGCCAAGGGCCCTGCCACCCCATTCCCCAAGGGTGGCTGCCACCTCAGGTCGATGGCAGGGCTCAGAGCCAGCCCAGGAGCCCGGGGACAAGCCAAGCCCGACACGAGTGACTGATGGATGCAGGGGTAGCGGCTGTGGTGCCAACAAAGCCACCTGCCAACCTGCGGCCTCCCAGCAACATGCCCCCAGGGAGGAGCCCACACAGCTGCTGAGCCCCAACCTTCATCAAGCTTAGGGGGCTCAGGGCCCCAGCCGTTCCCCCACTTTCTTCCAGGAGGGGCTGCCTTCCCTGCTCTTCGGCAAGTCTGGCGGGGGGGGGGGCCCAAAGGTGCCACACAGCAGGCCCTTGACTGCTCCTCGAGGACAACCACCAGCAGGTGGGAGTCGCAGACAGGCCACCCCCACCCCTACCCATCTCTAACCCCAGCCCCACCCCAGCCTGGCAGGTGGTATCCTAACCCACCCACTGGGGAACGCTGGTCATGGTGGCAGCCAGGTGGGTGAGTGCCAGGGAAGGCGGGATAAGCGCGGCAGGACGCGGGGAGGCGGATAATGTGGCGTCACGGCCAAAGCAGGAGAGGAAGAGTGCGTCTTTACCTTGACCGTCTGCTGCGTCTGAAGGCAAGACACAGAGCTGAGAACGCGGACACGCTCAGCCCGACACGAACCCACAGCAGTCACTGGACACACAGACCCTTGGCACTTGGGGCCGCCAGGGCTGGACTACCTGGGGGCCACATCACCCACAGCCTGGCTCCCTCGGGGCTTCCCAGCCCACGTCCCTTGTTGCCTCTGCCTGGGTACAGGCCTGGCCTTCCCTACTCAGTGGTGACTAAGATGAGGCTGAGCCAGAAAGAAGGGCAGGGAGCAGGGGCCACACCTGCAAACTCCCACAGGCTGCTCCTGAGTGTGGCCTGGCCAGGGACACCTCAGGGGACAGAGCACAGTCCCTCACGCTCTCGGCAGGTCAGCAGGGAGCCTGAAGAGAGGACAGCACAGCCAGGCGGGCTGCTGTGAAGGGTGGGTGCCCTGGGAGAAGTGACCCTGCAGGTGGGGCAGGGACGGATGCAGCCGGAAGCAAATCAGGGAGAGCTTCGAGTGCCACGCTCAGGCGCTGGCCCGTGACCTAGAGGGCAGTGGGAAGCACTTGAAACAGGTCCTTCTGGCTCCTGGGACGGGAGTGTGGGGGCGAGCGAGGCAGCCCGGAGGCCGATGGAACCAGCCACCAGCTGGAGGCGGCACCCCACGGAGCAGCAGCAGCAGCTTGCCTCGGCCCCTGGAACCCACGCTCTCTCTCGCCACCTGCTTCGGTTGCCATTCACCCACAGCTGCAGGGCAGCCCCCGTGTACCTGGCTGGTACCACCCAGCTGTCCTCGCAGAGAGCAGGCGCCCAGGTCTGTGTCTGCCACTCCCTTACTCCCACTCTATCAGTCTCTGGACCGTGAGCTCCTTGAGGGACTTGTGGCCCATAGGCAGCTCTTAGTTGTTCTCCCAGAGTCCTTCAGCCAGGCCCTGGCTCCCTTGCCTCCACAGGGAGGGAGGAGCATGGGGGGCAGCCCCAAAGGGGTTCTCAGCAGGGGAGGGGAGACCATCTCCTGGGGGCTGAGGAGGGAGAGGAAGGGGGCGCCATCGGGCTGAGCCGGGTGCTGTTGTTGTTATGTGCCGTCGAGTCGGCCCCGACTCACAGCGACCTCTCCTTGGGTTTCCGAGGCAGTATCACTACGGAAGTAGGATTGCCCAACCTTCCTTCCGAGGAGTGGCTGGTGGGTTTGAACCGCCAGCCTTCTGGAACTAAGAAAACAGCAGCCTTGAGCCAGACACTGCACTCGGCAATCACCCCACACTGGGACCACTGGATTCCATCCCAGCTCACACTCCGCCACAGGCCAGCAGCGCAACCCGGCTTGCCACAGTCTAGCACATGTGCGTGCTGGGGGCAGAGGCCACTTCACTATTGTATGCAAGACTGCCTGGCCTGTGGCCCTGAAGAGGGAGAGGGGTCTTGCCAAATGGTCAGAGCCTCTGACTTGTCCAATGAGGCACCCTGCTGCCCTCAATCGATGCCCAAGAGGGAGCTGGCACCTTGGGTGAGACCTGAGGCCGTACAGAAGGCCCAGGCTCCCTCCCGTTCCACAGGAAGGAACCCTCACTTGGGTCACTGGGCTCTGTCCTCAGAAATACAGCCTCTGGGAACTGCAGCCTTCGGGCGGCCATGGTCATGGCCGCCTGCCCTTTCAGGGTGGTTTACACTTCAAGTCAGCTCAGATCTATCCCGAGGATTTGCATATGTGCAGCTCCACCCTCACCCTGCCCCGACCCTTAACCTGCTCCCTTTTCTTGCTTTGTTCTGGTCTAGGAAGGGGGCTGGGGGACACTGCTGCGGGCCCAGCCACCGGAGGCTGCTGAGTGGGTCCACTTACGCTGGATGCTGAAGCAGAGCTTCTTCTGCTGGTAGGATATGTAGCTGGAGACAGCGCCGATCAGGGCCATGGCCAGGGCACTGGCCACCCCAGCCACGGTGCCGGCCTCTGCGGACATGCCTGGCCAGAGCAGGGCGGGAGAAAGGCAGAGAGGCAGGCTCCAACCAACAGCACCAGGACTCAGCTCAGACTCAAGTCCAGGTTCAGGTGTCTGCTTCCCTTCCCACCCCAGGCCACTGTCTTCAGCGTTTTCAGATACCCCATACTGACAACTCTGTTAGGGGGTTACGTCCATATGTCAACAGTCTGAAAACGCCCTGGCGCCCCTTGATTTGCCAGGTGCTCCCCGAGTGCTGTTGACTGTCCTGAGGATGCCCTCCCTAATCTAGGGGCTTGAAAGGTACACAGGAAATGGACCAGAGAAGAGGCCTGGCCTGTGCCCCCACCCCAGACCCACAGCGCGACCTCTCTGGGCTCCAGCTTTTCCTGCTTAACTCCTTCCAACGGCTGCACCCCTCTGCTATTTCCCTCACAAGTCTCTACTGTGACACTCGGGAAGGTCAGGGACAGCCAAGTCTGGGAGGAGAGCTTCCAGCCACCTCGAGACTCAGAAACTCACCAGATTCCTGGTCATCACTGCTGCCGAAGTGGCCATCACCTAGAGAGAGGACAAAAGCACTCAGGGTCTGCCGAAACCCCATGACCACCTCTCGGGGTCGGGAGGGACAGCTTAGCACCACCATCCCCCAGGGTTGCCACCAATTCCCCTTCCTGCCTCGTGGCCCACAGCTGGATGACTGGGCCAACCCTTCCTATGTCATTTCTGCCACAGGCCCAAGCCAGCACGTCACCTTGGGCTTCTACCGGCCTGCGGCAAGACCTGCTTTCTCACGCCTGCCGACTGGGGGAACCTGCTGCCACTAGAAAGAGTGTGACCGTGAGTCGAAGGGTCGTGAGATCCCAGCCTCCCCATACACGGTGTACCACTGAAGCTCTTCTTCAATGAGGCCACACTTGGTGTCCCCAGGGGGACATAACCTGCACACAGGCTGAGTCCAACTCCGGGACAGCTGTTTTGAATGACAATACTGTGTCTGCAGCACACACGTCTCTATGCAATTGTAGCAATGGGTTTAAGTACAAAGTTCTTTTTATAAAGACAAGAGACAAGACTAAAAATCACTCACAATCCCACCAGCCAGAGGCTAAAAAACTTAAACCAAACTCACTGCCGTGGAGTCGGATCCGACTCACAGTGACCCCTCCTTGGGTTTCCGAGGCAGTATCACTACAGAAGTAGATTGCCCACCCTTCCTTCCGAG